ACAGCATGCACTTGATAGCTAGCATATTCCTTCATTGTACAGTGGAGCTGGTAAAGTACAGCAGAACCAGGAGTTCTGGGTTAAAAGACAGGCATAGAAAGGGAACAGCTACACTGATTCTAGCCCCTTTTCAGGATATTGTATTGCTACATAGTGTCCAATTTTGCTGGAAATAGATTAAGGAAATGGTCTTAGTTAAGGAACTGGTTAAGAACTCAACGTATTCAGTCTGTTGTCAGTACTTTTATGCGAGTGCTTTATCTTTCAAAGACTTCTGTTGAAATAATCATTTATACAGCCTGTTGGGCTAAGGAAGGCCTAAAGCAAGCATAGTTAACAATCATAATGGTAAAGTCTTGATCATTTTCTAAAAATCAATCAAGTCACAACTGTAAAAAAAAATGATAGGCTGCAAAATTTATTGCCTCTGATATTAACCCTGTGATGGGTCGAAAAGTTTGTAACATTCAGTATAATTGAAATAAAAGCTTAATAATAAATGAACAGGTGGTGGAAGCCAGTAGAAGCCTTACATATCTCCCGGAAGAGATTTTTGTTCTCCTTTAAAAGACTAAGTACTGTGGAAAACTGATCTTCCAAGATGAATAGTCCCTGAAACATCTCTAGCAATATCAGCTAATAACAGGTTAGTAGCTTGGCCTCCAGACTCCTCTATTATATGTTAAAAAGTAGTTCACTTAACTTGTTTTACTGGCTTTTGGTTGTGAACTACTCACTTTTGAGAAGGTAACTGGATATTTTTTCACCGTGTGTATGCACAGACAACAAAATTGGGGCAGCAGCACGGAAACTGTGGTTTTATTTACCTTGCTGGACTCACTCTGTTTTGCAAATGCTCAGGATTTATCCATATAGTTGCCAAGAAGAAACAGACAGATGTGTGTAGATATGGTGCAGTTTGCAGTATTTACTATTCTTCAAGAAATAATCTGCTATAGAAGTGCTTTATGATTTCATCATGAGTAGGATTTCTTTCTTAAGTCACCAGAGGCACAGCCTCATGATTGATTGGCACAGAGTATAATGAAGATATCGCTATATGAGCAGCACTGCCGATGTAGTCATTCAAGCAAATATTTTTATCTTTTGAAAAGATAAAAGTTTAGTTTGCTGGTATGTTGCTTGATGATACGTTCGTCTCTTCAAAATAATCTGTCACCTTTCCAATGCAGTGCTTAAGTTTATGGTGTATTTTGTTTTCATATATGTAGATCTGATACTATGGCTCTTTACATTAGGAACGATTTAGAAACTCATAATGTATCCTTCCGATGCAGCTCCTACTGACATCAATGGGGTTTGCTTGTGTTTTGATAGTGGGGTATAGGAAGAGGTATATTATGTCAACTTATTAAAAGGTTTTCATCATTCTAATAATTGAAAGTTTAATTGCAGTTTTTTATCAAAAAATGTAGTTATCACTGTAGTTTGTAAGAGTCTACCAACTTTGACAAGAAATGTTTGCAGTTTCAGCAGATTTGGTTCTGCTGAGTACACAAGCACAGGCACAAAAAGAAAACTGGGGAACGGACCTGGTGTAAATCCGAATTAGTTCCACTGAGGATAGTTAAAGATCTAGTACCTTGATTTTCATATTTGTTTCAACATTACATTACTCCTGATGTGCAAGCCATCCTTCATCCTCTCCTCTTTTCTAGTAGGAGGAAATTACTGGTTATGACAGCCTAGCACTGAAAGGGGAAATCAGAAAACCTGTTTGATGCACTTTTTGGAATGAAACTATGGCAGGTGCAGGACATAAGACATATCCATCACAATTATTACTGCTTTTCACAGTAATAATATGTAAGCCTACAGTTCACCATCTAGCTCTTTCTGGCTGTTAGCTGTGCTTGATCTAGCTAATAGCCATAAATCTCGTCCTAGAGGCTATGTCTTCTTGGCAGTATGGTCCAAAAGCTGGCGAGTTTGCTGAAACCTCCTTTATTTGTCTCTGGAGCACTGTGAAGAGTTTCTGCTCAGCAACCCAAACGTTATGAAGTATTGCCCAAATGAGATCCAGTGACTGATCGCATCGCAGTAACTCCTTTTGTTTGTCTCACTTCTCTGAACATCACTCCAGAAGTAGCTCTCTTTCATATGGTCATATCTCTGCCATATGAGCTTCTCTCATATGTAAGTGCTCACCAAGATAAGCAAGAGTTGAAAAATCCTGTTTCTCTAGTACTACCAAGTGCACGAATTAGTCTAAAAGAGACACACAAACTAATCTCAACTTTATAGCATTTATTCCCAGGTCATAGTTCCTTCAGTGAACAAATATAGACGAAATACATCCATAGTGATTCTGACCCAAGACAATATTCTGAATCCAAACTTGTAAGTGCAGAAGAACTATGCTTTTGCCAGTTTCTAGGGAGAAATGGTATCATATATTAAGCCAGTTGGAATCTGAGGTTTTTGATTTTTGCGTCTCTTTGAAGCTTTTATCTCAAAGCTTCACAGTTTTTTCAGCTGTATCAGCTAGCCTAAACAAAAGATGTTACCTCTCGCTACAGTAGTCTCAGTTACATCCTTAATCAGATATACCTGCAAGAATAACCCGCTGCCAGCATAAACTGCAATGGTCTGTGCATTAGTTACTAGTGTGTTAAAAACTAGTCGGGACAGGTGTTACTGAGCAAATCTGGAGATAATTTGTGTTTATGAGGAAACTATTAAAATAATAAAAAATATGCATAGGTAAAAGTAGACTTGTTGCACAAAAATGTCTTTGTACTTCATGCTGCAAGAAAAGAGTAATCTGAAAAACATGACCCTGTCTAACGAAATGGGATTATTTAGCTGGTACCTTTAAACGTAGCTAGAAACTACTGCAGCGTAGATTGGGAAAGAAGAGAGGTTCTCCTCCATCATGTGATATGGAACTCATACTTGACCATATGAATGAGGTCCCAAGGGGAGGATAGAAACTGAAGTTCACTACTGGTAAATCCACCTCTAAGGTTTAAAGATGATTTTAAGGAAAGTGCCTGTGTTGTTGATTTTCTTATCGTGCATCAAAGGACTTAATGAAGGTTGCCTTCTCTTCTTCTGATCCTAAGATATGAAGAGAGAGGCTGCTCTGTGTATTGCTTAAGATAGTGTGGCTCAGAAGTTGGGAGATACGTGGTCCTTTGATACAAGCAGACAAAAGCTGTCCACTATTAATAAAAATTAATATGCCATAACATTAGGCTTCAGGTTTTCCTGGTCATCCAGAGTACTGATCAAAGCTGTTTTGGTAGAATGCCCTAAATATGTGCCTGTTTGAAGATGAATTACTCTGATCCTACACCACAGATGGCTTTTTGCGTCTTAAGATGTGATTTAGTATGCTTACCAACAAAAAAAAAGACATAAGTAGAAAATCTCATAATTAAAAAGATATTGTTAAAATATCATTTGTATCTTAATATTCACTACATGGATGAGCTTTTCATTTGCCAAATAAATCCATGTTTTTGTTCCTTTGCCAAAATAAATCCTTTGAGCCTTTATCAAAGTGAAAGGGTATTTACCTGCTAAGTGTATGAAAGAATTAGCTGATAAAATATTACAATAAAAAATGAATTTAGTAAGTACACAGTTCTCAAATTAGGCCTTGATTTTGAAGTGAATGCAGAGAAAGTTTGCCCAGCAGTGATTTGATAATTGTTGTAAAGTATTAACACATTTCCTTTATTTTAAAATCTCTACATGAAGTATGTTTTTAAATTATACGTTTTAAAATATCAACGGAAGATCAAACATCAAAATTAACAATGCTGACTAAAAACATATATTCTGTAGTGTGAAACAGACTGTTAGTAATAGGAACTGGATGGAATAAGAATAGGACATCTACCCACCAAAGTACAGATGATAACTTATTTGCCTTGAGAGCTCTTAACAGCTGGAAGGAATACAATTATCCAAATGCTATCTGAAGTAGCTAGAAACTAGGAGTACCATTACAAAAATGCATGTTTAAATAGTTTTTTTTAATTGGCCATTTGCATATAATATGCGGGTCTATGATACTTTTATTTTAGCAGCATCTATAATATTTTTGATGTAGCTGTATGAGAGTTGTATCTTTTATGCAGAATTTTATTACGCAGTCTGTTTATAGATTTATTCTTAATACACGTCAGTTCGGATGATATTGTGGAGTATAATGATAATAGTGGAAACCATTGAAAAAAGCATCTTAAGAGTAAAAAGGTATTATATGGAATTCAGTCTAAAACAGAGCTTGAATGAGCTCTGACAGAGCTGACATGGCTGGTTGTTTCCTGTGGCCAGGCATTACTGTGGAACCCCACCAGGAAGTGTGCTACGGAGCAGGATCACATTACACCCCTGTTTTATGGTTCATTTCACTTATTTAATGCAATCTGAGAACCTGCAAAAAAGAGCACTCTAAAAGGGAGATGTTTATTATTTGAAAATATGTCATTTCTTTGACGCGAGTGATTTGGCTTGGAACGCCTGATGTAATGCAAGGAAAATCAATAGCACCATGCAGTAGGTTGTACAGCAAAAGCCATATTTTTCTGTATTCATGAAATGTAAAGAACGATGCACATAGTTCATGTCTGTACACTCTTGCTTGTCTACTTCAGTGAACCAACAGCGTGCTACAGTGCTAGAACAACAGAAAAAATTATAGTAGTTTTCTTTTACTACTGCAAATAAATTTTAATACAGTGCGGTGGTTTATTAAAATTATGTAGACTGAAAGGATTGTTTAGTATGCCAGCTGGTTTATAGAGCATGATAAAACATTCCAAAATCTTTGGAAACAAGGAACGTGCTACAGCCTGTATTTGGTGTGACAAAGCTATTTTCATAGGAAAGAGAAATGTTTAAAGTGCTAACTAGATAATGAGTCATCAGTTCTGGCAGAGGAACTAATTTTTGTTAGCGTAGTACTTAAAAATGTGTGGAATGAACAGCTGGATACCACAGTTGTGGCATGCCATATTAAGTCTCTGTCTGTTTTCTCCTACAGTGATCTCAGTATGAACAACATTACTAAGCTGCCCTCAAACTCTGTGCACAATCTCCGCTTCCTGGAAGAGCTGTAAGTATCATTGTATTCTTGATGGGCATAGTCAGCACTAGGCACATTCCTGTGTTTGTCTCTCATACTTACTGTGGGAACCAGATAAAACAGTGCAGGAAAGCTGTCAGCCTGACACTTTTGGCACATGCGGAAACACTTAGTTGAAAAAAATGTTTGCTTGTGATTCTGGAAATGAACTTGTAAAAGAGTTACCATGAGGCTACAACTTCTCTAAGCAGAGACAGAGCCAAACAAATTAAAATTTTTAAACAAGAGCTGTTTAAAAGAGCTGGATTGCTTTTTGGAAATAGTTAAGCAGCAGGATATTAAAAGTTTGAATACTGGCTCATGTTTATTAAAATCGCAAGTAAAGCTATAATCAAAACCAAAACTTTTGCTGCCTGGTTCTGCCTATGTCAAGGACAATTGAGTCCACTTTTCATAGTATCAAGGCTTCTTGTCCTAATCACTTTTAATTACTGTTTCCCTACTCTTAAGTTTAGCATCCCTGAAGGCTGAGTATAAAATGTAGAATCGTACAAAAAGCTTAGTTATGCTATCTAGTACGTTCACTGAGGGGAAAAAGTATGCTGCAAAAGCTAGCTAATCAAGCACAACATCAAAAGAGGAGTGCTGGTTTGAAGTGATGGTGGCTAACCAAAAGTGAAAAGTATTGTATTTTCATGAGACCTGGGTTTGGCAGTGACCCTAGTTGTAATGACCCGGGCCTAAAAGAAAATTTAGGTTCCTGAGAAGTGATGGAGATTCTGTAGCTGATGCACCATAGAATGTGTGGGAAAAGGCTTGCACCTGCATTTGCATGCGCACCTCTAAAAGCTGATTAAAAGAATTGGGTAGGCATGCAGCCTCTTACGAAACATGTGCTTTATAAGCTTTTAAAAGTAAAGACCTCCTTTTTTATGGCAAGCTTAGCCACTAACACACCATAAAACCCACATAAGATATGCAAACTCATGATGCTGCCCTTTTTGCAAAGACACAGTCTATTTTAAGCTATGAAATGTGCATGGTCGTCTGCAGTTTGATCTCCTTTAGGTGGGTATTACGCTTCCAATTTTTGGGGTCCTCACTAACACTCATTTGAATTTTGCCACCTGGTCTTTCCATCTATGAAAAGCAAACAAAAAAAAAACCAAAAAATGTGAAAAAACTCATCTTGGGAACATAGGTGATAGCGACACTGACTTGGAATGGTACCCTATTTGCAAGCAGGTTTTCCTTCCCTGTTTTCTTATCCCTTTTTACCGCATATGGGGGGTGTTTGGGCTTATTTTTATTACTAGCAGAATTTGCATTTGAAAGGTATTATTTCTTTACTTGCTTTGGTTATCGTTATCCATATTGCTATTGCTGATCTAACTTTCGGCTAACACAGATAAGGACATAACAAGGAGAGATGTTACACACCAAATATAACAGTATCAAGTGCATATGAAGAGAATCACACAAAAAAGACTCTGCACATTTTTGCGTGTTCATGTTTGCTTGTACAATGTCCTGTCAACTGTAATAACATTCCTAAAAGCTTCTAGCCCAATGATTTTTCTTCAGCCATCTAAGAAGAAAAACAAAAGTCTGGGCTTTTCCTAGAATGAAATGCTGCTAATTCATCGAGCTACCTCCCGTCTTTCAATTTACAGTCCAAACTTAGGTTACCCAAATAGTGAGGCATGTCACTGTTCGGGAGACTCCTCAGCAGTCTACTTCTGTCCAAAAACTCTGAAAATGTTCTTACCTTATTCCTGTGCTGAGCCTACTTTTTCCTCCTTATATGTTAAACTACTATGCTTATAACTCTCTGTTCCAAAGTAATGCCAATCCTTCATTACTGGTACTACTCCAAAAGTATTTATTTTATTATCATCTTTTGCTTTACACATCAACACTCTGCTCCTCCACTATTTACACATAAGCCAGTCATTTCGGTCTCATTATTTGTGATGCTGTTCCCTGAAACCCTTCCAGTTTGTATTCATTTTTCAAATAACGGGTAGCTTAGAGACGTGAACCCTTTGGAGATGTGAGGTAACTGATGACCTCTTTTTAATGCAAATTCCAACCCATTATATTGAGAGTCTCTTCAATGTTCAGAGTGATACAATACAATTCGGTCTAGTATTATCTAGAAAAATTATAGACAATGTTTCCACTGAACTATTTTTTCAGTTTTGAAATAGAAAGTTACAGCCACAGTAGTTTCCATGCTCGCCTTATGCTCATTTCTGAACAGTGATTGTACATATTAAAATTATTTTGCCCATCCAGGTATTACCACATGATTTTTATTTCCAGCTTACCTGGGAATTCTATGTTTTGTTTATATGACTTAGTTCAAGGATACTATTGTAAAATGTAACTTGGCCCATAATGCAGACATTGTAAAAATAAGATTTTATGAGGTCTTTAGACTGGAAGCAATGTTTCCATGAAATTAAAATGCACCTTAGAAATGTCCATATGCTCTTTGAAACAGAACAACAGTAGGAGCTGAAAATGCATTTATAGTTTTTTTTTAGTGTTGAAAAAAATGTTAGTAATCACTTGATTATAGGCCTGGTTCAAAACCTAATAAAGGCAAAAGAATTGATCCACTGAATTTTGGTTTAGATGTTATGGCCTGGGTGTGTGGTTTGGCGGTACTGATACATCGTTACCTCAAAAGAACTGAGACTTTATTATGAAGAGAGTTAAACCCGTTGTTTTGACTCCAAAGAAAGGATGTGTAAACCAGATCTTTTCAGCCAATTCAGACCATCCAGGCTGAATCTGATTCACTATTCCAGCCACAGTTCGACACCTCTGCAGGCACCATTCTTGCAATCCTGATGATCGTGTCTGGGCTTTATCCTCAACCAAAAACTTTGGTCGCTGAAATACGACTTCTTGAAACTGCTGCGTTTTTGAGGTGCCTCTTCCTCTAGAAGTGCTGGAAAACATTGTGGTGCTTTGAAAACTGAGCTGTTCTAGCAAGCTTAGTTTTGAGGAAGAACTTTTCTTTCTGAAAGTGATGGGCCTTTCAGGCCTAATTTTCTCTTAAAATATGTGTGATGGAACGGCCACCAAGAAAAAAAAAATGCTTCAGCAGCCTGATTATCAGGAAGTTGCTCTGCATGGACTTGTACAATACCATTAAGTCAAATTCTTCATTATAAATTCGAAATAACTCTACAGATATTTATCAGTATGACTGGGTCCAGGATTCAATCTCATGTAGAGTTTTTCTAGAGTTATCTTATTCTACAATATGTTTTGAATGCCTATAGTAATAGAGCAATAAATTAGAGTAATGCATTAAAAAAATTTTTTTTAAAGTATAATGTATTACCTAGACCAGGACTCTTAAGAGCTAAACAGACAACCATATCTGAATGTACACATATCATTTTGCGATTAATAACACTTCAAAGCATTGCCTGAAATGGTTTTATTTTATAAAGTAATCTCTCTATAAAGAATAAGGAATAAAATAAAACTATTTGAATCAGACCTTACTACACATATCTCCAATGAGATATATCTACATACATGCATACATATGCATATGCATAAAAATATGCATGCCTCCCCTTACACACGTGTATCTGTAAGGCTTTTATTTTAATTTTAATTTTAAACACAGAACACTCCTCAGATGAGCAAAACTCCAAGTGATTTTTAGTACGTTGCTATTTTTCAGCAACTTAAAACAGGTGTTTAAGCAAAACGGGGAAAAAAGCAAGGGAGGGCTTTTTTATTTCTTATTTTTTTATCTACAGAGTAAGACAGTTTCAAATACCTTCCATTTTGCAAAATCAAGTGACAAATACACTCTCAACTTAATTGCAGCTTGCATACAGGTGCAGGAAAGATTACTGAGGCCTATATTATTTCTTATAAAACCTTGAAAAGGCTTACATATATGTCCAAAGTTTTTCAGATTGCCCACTGTATTATTACAGCAGTTTCTCAGGCAGCAGTGCCTTTAAAAGTGCATTTTATTACAATCCTGAAGTGCAGAGTTACAGATACAATACAAAACAGAAACGTATTGTATGAACCTCACCATCAACTGTATGGAAATCCCTTCATGCTTCAGAAGTGATCAAGAGGCTGCTGCCTATTTGAAAACGAAGTCCTAAATTGCCAGGCACAATCCATTACCATCTGTTCTTATTTACTGTTTTCCCTTTACCTCTCTTTCTGTTTGCTCTTTCTTTCCACAAATAGGTTTTTAAAGATGTTAATGGGAATTAGGTGTTCTTTTCCCTTCTGACTTGGAGTGGAACTGATCTGTCTGTCTGTCTGTCTGTCTCTCTCTCTCTCTCTCTCTCAATCTCTCTCTCCCCCCCCCCCCCCCCCCCCAGTCATTTACACCCTTGAAAACTGAGCGCATTAGCTCCTTGAGTTGTGTACAATCTTTTGTGAACGCAGGCATATTGTGGCTAGCGCTGAAAACTGATTCTACATAGTAGAAAACATGAAAATGGCTGCAGTCATCATCCAAAAGGTACTGGAGAGAGTGGGGGAATCTTAATTTACGTCAACATGCATTGGACAGGATGCTTAAGTACCAGAATTTTTCCCAAATATTAATCTGCATAGATTTAGAAGCGTCCAAGGCAAACAAGTAAAAAAAAAAAAACCCTGCAACTGACAACCACAACAAAAGAAAAAAAGACAAGCAAGTATCGTCCAGCGGTCTCAAGCTGTGTATGTACACAGGCCTCCTGATCTCACTTAAGTATCAGTTTTACGGTTTTTGCACAACAGATTTTACTGAGCTATTCGTGATGGAAATTGGCTTATGCCACTTCCCTCAGCTAATGTTTCAAGAACTGTTTTTGTTAAATGACTTAGGGTCCCGTATGTAATTCCAGTGCTGCATGCTATCTGAAACGTAAGTTTTGAATTCTGCTTCTTCACATAAGCTGTGAAATCGATTTGTTCACTTCATGCATTCGTACAAGTAGATGTGAACTGTTCGGAATATACCACTGTGTTTAATATGTAGTGTTTAT